ATTATGCACTCCTTATTCTGAATATCTTTTGTTTTATTTTTGCTGAAATTATCAGCCGGAAAAGGACAAATTAAAATTCTTTGTGTAATAATTGTGAATATCAGTTTTTCGCAGAAAAGTGTCATCAAAACTTCGAGGGAGAAGGTTATTATAGTAGGAATACATGAATTCACCAAGGTTAAATAAATAAAGTTTATCAAATTTAAGAATTTTTAATTCTTTGAAAATTGGGTCACAATGTGCATCAAATGTTTTTTTGTTAACAATTCTAACTGCACGTTTTTGAAGCAAGATTACACGGTTAAGGTTTGTTGAATATGTAAAACCACACACAGTAACACAATATTGAAGATATGGATAAAGTAGAGTGTAATATGGCGTATGTAACGATGATTTAGAAAGGCAGAAACTAGATTTATATATGATACCAGTTGACTTAGAAATTTTACTTGCAACATGAGAAATATGAGATTTCCACGATATATTTTCATCTAAAATGACACCAAGGAAAGCAACATCTTTGACCACATTAATTTCATGATCATTATACTTTATCAGCCAATCAATATTCAATCTTTTCTGCTTCGGTTTAAAAATCATATAATTAGACTTTTTTATTTAGTGAGAGGTTATTCACCTTAAACCACTCAAGCGGCTTATTGATTTCACAGTTTAATATACTTGTTAGATGTGATAGATCTTTATGAGAATAAAATGAATTTGTATTATCTGCAAATAAAATTAAGTCAAGAACGTTAGAAACATAAGAAAGATCGTTAATATGTAACAAAAATAGTAGCAGGCCGATGATTGAACCTTGAGGCACCCCACATTGGATGAGGTTTGACTTAGAAGCGCAGTCAATGTATTGAACATATTGTAATCTATTAGAAAAATGATTCTTTACCCAGTCAAGTGCCACACCTCAAATCCCATAGTGTTCAAGTTTATCAAAAAGAATGTGGTGGTTGACCGTATCAAACGCTTTAGAGAGATCAAGGGAAGTACTGGCTGTAAACTCTTTTCGATCAATAGCCGATGTAATTTTGCCATATAGGTGCATCAAGGCTAACGAAGTTGAGCGTTTTTTTCTAAATCCATATTGATTATCGAAGAGTATGTTAAATTTATTAATAAACTTATAAACACGGTTAGAAAGAGCAGAACTCTTTAATATAGATTTAGGATAATTACCTTTAAGGAGAGATCGAAAAGACAGTGTTGATGACGGTATTTTCCTAGCTATGCGGGGACCAACATTCGTAAAATAATCACAAAATTGGCCAGCAATCTCAGTCGTTTCTAATTAATAATTTTGTTCAATATCCTCAGCGTGCGTTTAGAATTCGATTTGAAATATTCGAATCTCTTTTCATAACACCACTTCTTGGCATTTCTATTGGAGTGGTTTAGTTTGTTTTTGTATTTTTTTATAACAGGCTTCATTAAAGTGTATATGCAATGAAAATTTCAATTTTGTGATTTTTGCATTATCTGAAAATTTCATCTTTTCTGATCATTTTCATACCAACCTTGTTGAATACTTCGAATTAGAAGTTTGTGAATTTTGCGTTTAAAGTTAGGCTATGAAAATTTTAGCTGATGAAATCCTCGCGCGGCCAAGAGGTCATGATGACGTGTGCAGTGTGACACAGTGCACTCTTCCTATCTGTAAATACTATATAAACAATGTAGTTCCAACTGCGTTGAATTGGGATTTTTTGATAATTTAAACAAAATCCAAATAAATCTGCCTTATGCAGATGCGATAGATTGGTAAATGAATGCAATGATATCACCATACGACGATTTATCGCTTATAAGCCGCCGAAATGCGAAATCAATGTTGTAGTAGCAGTGTAGGTTTCAGATGTCGTTAGTTGTGGCATATTGTAGATATTTTCGTTGTATATAGTCCATTGTAGATAGTTGGATATAGCTAGAATTTATACAGTCCGTACTATGACAGAATAGGCGAAATGAAATTAATTGAAGTAAACGAAGTTGAGTATACCAAGAACGCAATAAACTATTAGGAATATAAGTACTAAAGTACCTCAGTTCGCATGTCATACCACAGTTAAGCTCGTTGCTTGTTTACGCTTCAAGTATGTCATGTTTTCGTCTATTTGCGTTTGCTGAAACGTGCCGTATCTATATACTATTTGCGCGCAATTTATTCCTTAGTCACTGGTTGTGTACTAGCTGCGTCAAATGAATACTATTCTGGGCCGTAATTAATTTAATTCCTTTCTGGCCTTATCAGTCAAGAAATTATGTTTTCACAACAGGCGTATTAACCACCAAGGCCGGAGCGCTTTATATATACTTCTTAGTCGATCATACTCACGCGACAGAGTCCGAGTGAAGAACCATTTATTTGACTAGGTTAATTTATACTTATAATTTACAATATCAGTTTACGTAACATAGTATACACTTTTTATCACGTTCTCAGTTCTCTGCTGTGATTATTTATATCCAGTGTTGCTTTGAGACGGATACCTCTTCCAGATTTCATTATACAGGCATGCTGGAAGCGGTCCAGAGTTTTCCCATCCGAGCATGGCGAATAACGCCGAATATCCATGCATCTCACTATCCACCGATATACGCCACTGCGGCACTGCACGAAGGTATCAAATTATCTAAACATTAACAATCGAACATTGAGACTGAGTTACTACCTTCACGAATGCACTGTTTCAAAGCAATAGATAGAATAAAATACACGTTTCAAAATCTTACAAAATACAACCATTTGCGATTATTGCGAATATATATAGAAAATACTGATGAAAACTGACCAAAATTTAGTGAAATTAATTTGACTTACTCATTTTGCCCGTCTTGAGTTCGGCTTGTTGATTTGCGGTAATATACTGTTCGAGTGTTCGGTGCGTAATAACAGGATAGTCCCAGTGCTATACAAATTTATACATTCAGCGTCTTTTCCATCGTACGTAAATTTCAAAATTTGGCCATACATTCAAGAATCTCAAATGTGCACCTAAAATCAATTCACATGTTAAACGAAACACGCTAATAAATAATTCGAGAAACGCTTTGATATTAGACTGCTTTGTTAAACTTACCATGAACTAACAGCTACGGTTTTCGTAAATCTCGCCTCAAGACCGTCTTCGCCTGTTTCGTCTTCCTCATAGTCATTAGTCACGATCAGCAACTGGCTCGAACAGACAGGGCTGTACAACAGACGATTGTGGCTCAACAACGTCCTCGTTATCTGTTGGCTGTTCTGTATCTGTCTGTGATTCAAAGCGTTCGCTATCGGACATTTTTTGCGTTTTTAAGGAAAGATATACAAGCTACTGTCTTGCGATTAGTGATATTTTGTAGTTTTCATTCAAGTAAACACTTGGATGTGTCACACTGCATACGTCACAAGGCCTGAATTTTCGGTACCAGTCTTTTCATCAGGTAACGATTCAAAATAACTGTATTTGTCGTACATTTTAGGTCATTTTCAATACTTTTAGAGCGCTTTTACTAACTAAAAATATTTTTACCTAGTTAAGGGAGGTCATTTCTTTCCAAATTTCGAAATTTAAAATTTTTCATTTTTCCTTGCATATACACTTTAACTCGGATGCTTAAATCGTTAATTGACTTCGAGTTAAGCCCCCGGCGAAGAAGGTCGTGGCAGGAGCTTAACTCGAAAAGGGCTTAAGTCGGAGGGCTTAACTCGAAGGGCTTAACTCGAAAAATACCTACCCCGTAGAGACATGCCATTGTGATTCATACCTGCAGTCTCAAAAGATCGTCTTGTTTGGTTTGTTTTAATTCAATCTTGAATTTCAATATGATATTATTATTCGCAGTTTGTTTTGTATATATTCCCAGATTAAAGTATTTTATTTATTTTGCTTTAGATAATGGACAGTTCAGTCTATTCTACTATTCTGGCCCAGACGAAGGGCCTTCGCTCGAAATGTCGAAATCTCTCCTTATATTTTCAGGTAGTTGCATCCCTACCAACGAAAGCCTGTTTATATTCTTGACACTGCCAACACTGACACAGACAGTTCAAGATTATATCTTTGAGTATACCCAGTCCTAGGCTACAGTGTATAGACTGATAGCTGAAAGCTTAAATTCCTGCAAATAAATATCAGTTACATGTCAGAACTGTGAAACAATAAATATGTTTCACTGACTTCATATCATCTACACACCCTTTCACTTTTATTGTACTTATAAGTGAAACACAAATGATGATTACACAGTTGAATATTTTGATAGAGATATATATATTTTAATGATTCCTTTCATTTTACATCTACATGTTATGATTAGACTGCAATTTAGTCCGACGATGACGCAGGATTAACGCGCTATTTGGATGCGCAGTCGAAAATTGGTGTATATATTTAAAGTAAACAAACATTGGTGGGAAGGGTCCAATTGCGTCGATCGCGAGCGCGCGACGGCTCGAAATTTCATACTTTCGGTTCAGTGCATGCTATGAAGACAGAAATACCACCAATCGATTCAGAAATAAAAGATAGACTAGTTCCAAACGATAGTTATAGTCATTATTAACATTGTAACGATTTATGGGCCTTCGAAAGTCAAACACGATAATATTGTATCAAATTACGCAATTGTCTGAACAAAATATAGACTAGCCATACCTTTCGCTGAAAATAACTTCGGCCCCTTCGCACATATCGTCTTTGTAATAGTCTTGTTCGAATCCCCATCAAAAACACTATTTAGAGTGTTATTTGCAGCCTGTATCTTCAAATCTGTATCTTTTATCAATATATTTCCATTTCTTGTCCGACTGTGAGCTCGAAGTGAGTTAATCCCAACCGGAAATACGTCTGAAAACCGTCAAAACAATGCGACGTTTGTATCATATGACCCTGGAAAGGCCAGAAATGGATTCGCAAGGTCAAATTGCACCTACACGCGTGAGTTTGACGTCATCCCGGCCAAAGGAGCTTCTTATTGGCCAATTATTGCGCAATGTACGCAAGTGCGAGTAAAACCCGATATCTTGAAAAATTCAAAATAAATATTTCTAGTCTGCGTATACATACGAAACTTTCTACACGAAAGCGCTTGAATACAGAGAGTATTTTACACGTATAGCCGTTCAGCAAATGACGAAAAGTTCAAGGGGTATTCAAGATCTTGTGGATATGAAATTTAGAATCTTTGGCCAAGCGGTGAGTGAATATATGATTGTTTCGCTTTGTGTAATGTTTTGACGGCACTTGACACCCCGTTCGAAAGGTTATTTTATGAGGATTTCAATGGTGGCATTTATTTAAAAGGGGGGTAAATACTCGTGGAGATATTTATATTAGAAAAATTGTATCGAAATGTAATACGAAACCGGTTGTCGGGAAAGAGTTAAATATTATAAGAAGAATAAAATTAAACTTACCAAAGTTGACTAATGGTGACTTAGCTAATAGATAATCTTTGAAGATTCTGCAAAGAATTGATGCAAACGGTTTCAGATGTACTTTCGCTTTGAGGCAGCACCTTATATTAATTAGTCGTGTTATGTATTCTGTTAAAAACAGGTTTGACTACCTCACGGGCATTAGTTTCGGGTTATGTCAATAAACGTGGCATCCAGCGTCGTACTCTTTTAATAAATCGGCGTTTATGAATATCCTTATAAGGCACGAATTTGTGTATTTAATCTTTTAATTAACAAGTGATATTGTTTTGACACCTTTGCATGTTTTAGAATTCCATGTGTCAGTCTGGACTTGCATCGTCTCATATTACCATTTGCGTTCAAATGTTACCCCTCGCCGCGAAAACAAGTTAATTGTTTACACGTTTGATGTTTTGCAGCAAGCGTTTTGATTGGACAACTTGTCGACGTTTTACGTGCAAAACAACGATGACAGTCAATGGCATAGTACAAAATATGGACTGGACTGGACAGTTGGACTGGACTGGACTGATTTTTACATTTTCTCTATTCTTGACTTGAACGTCAGCCATGTCATGTGGCATGGCACAAAAGAATATTTTACCACAGAATAGATAACGCGTTCCAAAGAATTTTGAACAATTCCAAACTTCGAATTTTGACTAAAATTTGCAATATTTTGCGGAAATTTCTCATTTTTCTGCCAAAATACGGTATAATTGCCAAATCATCCTGATTTTGCCCCAAATGTCAAAGAAAAAAGCCATTTCCTGCGAACTTGTGTCGAAATTGTATTGATATTATGATATATAATCTTGATTGTTGTGACAGCAATTCTCATGGCTTACGCTTTTGTTATTTTTCTATAATTTGTGCCAAGTGTGTTCAGTCTACCTCCAAAATCAATCAAAATCTAAAAAATTGGTAGAGAAATCCCTATTGTTAATGTTTTTAGCAATCTTTCGCCGATTATTCTGATAAGTGTTCATTTTACCGCACAATACGAAACTTTTAAACAAAAAAAATGAACTGTCTGCTAAAATGCATGTGCAATAGAATAACTGGTGTAATATACAGGGGTGTCTGAATTTCAGACAACTATTTAGCTGAACAGACGAAACTATTTAGCTGAATCACAACAGACGAAACTATTTAGCTGAATCATGCCATAAATGTACACTAAGTCTTATTAATAGTACAGCTGTATGCCGCGCGAACTTGACGGTGTAACTACGAAAAGTAGAAAGTGCATTTTATAATTTCAGGGACCGCGGAGGAAGGCGTGAGCCTTCTGGGGGAGTCCGGGGGCAAGCTCCCCCGGGAAATTTTGAAATCTGAGGCCTCTCAGAGCCCCAGAAATGCAATAAAACCTGCTAGTTTCTCGTAAAAAGTTTCTTGAACGACTCTTATAAGCAAACCGTTTAAATAAAATTTAAAATTTATTCGCTTTAGTACATTTTCTTTGAATAGATATTTTTCTTCCAACTTTAATGCCTTAATTAAGTGTAATTTAAATTGCATTTTCCATACTTTTCGTCTCTACCTTTCTTAGAAATATTTTTTCTGGAAAGTGTTCAATAATAAAGGAATACTGAATGGTTTTCCGTGCAGGATTGGGTGATCCATGCACGAGGCATGTCGCGAGACTTTCGGAAAGTGTAAAAATACTCGAGCCGCAGGCGAGTTCCCTGAATTTGCTTGGATCAAAGTACATTTACACACTTTCATCAGAGGCATAATCAGGCATTGGTGTTGTCTGATACTGTAGTTATTAACTATAGCAAATTATCCCTGGCTTAAGTCTATTTTTAACGGGTTGATATATGGGCTACGTTATTCATATCTTTCAAGTTTATAGTTATAGCTCCATGGGCATTGCAGCTTTTAGCGCAGAAGTTCAAGTATAAAAACTTTAAATGAAGTGTAATGCATTTCAAGGGTCTATATACACACTCCACAACGAATGAAATTTAATATAAAGTCAGTGCATTAATTCAAGTCTTATGAGAAAACGCTAGGTGAAGGACTATTTATGTGAAGCAGTATTTATGTATCAGTCAAATCCTAGCGTGCCCATCCCCCCCGGGCAAACCCCAGGGCTTTTGACAATTTTGAAAATATGCAACAAATTCCCGGGGGCGGGAATAAAAACACGTGAAAATGACCGGCAGTGGGGCAAAAAATCAGTAGATTATCCAATTACCTGAAAATATAAAAGAGAATACTTTCTTCGATCGGCCAAGTATATCGCCCAAGTATTTCTGATATTTTGCAATTCGCTCGAAAAAGCGTCCGTGGGCGTGGAGGCCTTTAGCTATTTTGGTTCATATTTAGAGTTTAGATTTTAATCATGTTTTTGCAGCCTCAATACTGCCTTCATATAAATGTTGATGTATATATTTTGTGCAGAGTGTCTCAGTGTCCATATAAAAATGCTTTTCGTTTCATATTTTGAGGTATTGCCACCCTTTTTATATGCAGGAATGGATTATTTATTTGACAGTGTATTATTCAATACAAAAAATGCCACCGCTATGCCTATAGTGCACATACATTTATCAGAATACTACAAAACATAACAGGGTATTTTGGGCACGTATAAAGTAATCCAAATTCTTAATTTCAAATGCCTCGCCCCCGGGCAAAGGTTTGAGTTCAAATGCCCAACCCCCGGGACGTGCTTTATAGGAAAATGCCCCGGGGTAGCCAGGGGGGATGGGCACGCTTGGATTTGACTGATGCATTAGTAGGACCGAATAATAGAGCTATGATATGTATTGTATAACACACATTGTAAGTAACTGCGGTACACTATGATCAATATCGGTGCAAACCGCAAATGATCTACACCACAGTTGTCGTATTACTTTAGCAAATTGCGTGCATTAAGTTTGCAACATGAATAATATACCACTTTCATAATTCACACAATTCATAATAAATATAACTACTGTATGACTTACCTGGTGTCCGTCGCTTCATCACACTGCCGAATCTCAATTCATATCCCATAGCTCTTTGTCTGAACTAATCGTCTTTCTAATTCTCTTGTATCGGCAACATAAATTTGCAAAATAGTGTAACGACCAGTCTAGCCATATCTTAGAGTTTGAACACACCGCGGTGACAATCTATCCAATGAAAAGGCTCTTGCGTGGGCAGACGACACAGAGGTTGCCGTCAATATATGTTTTATTGTCAATTGTCACGTCCTGATTGGTTGAGCTTGATTCATAATCTTAATTTGAATTCTGAGTTTCCGTGCGCGTGTGTTCATATTCCAAAGTCTAATCCGGCAGAATAACAGAACTAGTGTATACAATACAGTATATCGACATACGATGATATATCCTAGCGACATGGCGAACAACTATGGTTACTAAATGAATACAGTGCGGATCATATGATGTCCGAATTCGCTTTGGCAAAGATTTATAAAATTCGTAAAGGGATACTACTAATGTCAAATGCAGAGTTACCTGTTTATTTTTCCTATTTATCAATATTCTAAGGGAATTAATAGAGACAGGATTTATTTACTTTTGATATTCATGTACCGCGAGTAATTTAGAGAGATGGTACGTTGCTATTCATTTGATATTATTCATTTGATATAATTTTGCGATGTTTAAACTGTAAACTTAAACATTGATTATTATGCGCTGATTTTCTCACTCCCATGGTGCTAATGAGTTTAACTTGGTTTGCGCCGATATTATAATACTATCGCATTCGCATGTGCTGTGTAAACATACTGTACAGAGCTTTCACGAGCATCATTCATGATATTTATAGGTATAAAATTTATACGGCTTCATGTACTATTTATAACATGAGCGGCCGTGTTGTATCGGATATACAAACTCGAGCCGAAGGCGAGAGTTTGTATATCTGATACAACACGGATGGAATTACTTAAAAAACGACTCATCTTATGAGTTAATTGGTGAAGTAATTTTAAAAATAAACGTTGTCTATAAGCCGAGAAAATCAAAGTTAAAGTTTATGTAAATCAACATGAATCTGTATCACATATACAGATATGACACACTTATGATTTTTCTTTGTGTTTTCTTCATGAATTACTAATGAGTTTTTTAATGTACGGTATATGAGTCGGTGTAGTTTGAGGCCGGTCATGATATTAATAATATCATGACTAGCCTCAAACTACACCGACTCATAGTCCTTTAATGGGCTATTGCATTTAATATGCGCCCTCCCTGTTGAGGACCTCCCTTTTGTAACCCAGTCCTAGGCTACAGTATATAGACTGATATAGAATAAATATCAGTTACATGTCAGAATTGTGAAACAATAAATATGTTTCACTGACTGCATATCATCTACACACCCTTTCACTTTTATTGTACGTATAAGTAAAACACAAATGATGATGAAACAGTTGAATATTTTGGTAGAGATATATATTTTAATGATTCCTTTCATTTTACATTTACATGTTATGATTAGACTGCAATTTAGTCCGACGGTGACGCAGAATTAACGCGTTATTTGGATACGCAGACGAAAATTGGTGTATATATATATATAAAGTCTACAAACATTGGTGGGAAATTCTTATCAATGCACTCTGATCTTCTAAGAAATGAGTGTACTACTTTACTTGTGCACTACTTTGGTGAGCAGTCGGACTTATTGTTTGCCAAGGTAGTTAAATATTATAAGAAGAATAAAATTAGACTTACCGAAGTTGACTAAGGGTGACTTAGCTTATAGATACTGTAATCTTTGAAGATTCTGCAAAGAATTGATGCAGACGTTTCAGATGTACTTTCGCTTTGAGACAGCACCTTATATTAATTAATCGTGTTATGTATTCTGTTAAAAACAGGCTTGACTACCTCACGGGCGTTCGTTTCGAATTATGTCAATAAACGTGGCATCCAGCGTCGTAATCTTTTGATAAATTGGCGTTTATGAATATCCTTATAAGGCACGAATTTGTGTATTTTAATCTTTTAATTAACCAGTGACATTGTTTTGACACATTTGCATATTTTAGAATTCCATGTATCAGTCTAAAAACAGTGCCGTAGCAAGCTCGATAACTGAGGCTCATATTCATATATTCGTGTTCTGCGTTATTAATTTCTTTTGAAATCGATTGTTTTATGGTCTGTGAACACGAATATATGAATATCCCCCCCCAATTATCGAGCTTGCTGCGGCACTGAAAATTCCAAGAACCAACTTGGACTTGCATGGTCTCATATTACCATTTGCGTTCAAATGTTACCCCACGCCGGGAAAACATGTACAAGTTAATTGTTTACACGTTTTGCAGCAAGCGTTTTGATTGGACAACTTGTCGACGTTTTACGTGCAACAACGATGACAGTAAATGGAATAGTGCAAAATATGGACAGTTGGACTGAGCTGATTTTTACATTTTCTCTATTCTTGACTTGCACGTGAGCCATGCCAGGTGGCATGGCACAAAAGAGTATTTTATCACAGAATAGATACACCATGTCAAGCCATTTTTCTGATTTTGTCAATGAACATTGTCTGGGCGTACCAGGAGATTGGCTGCAAGTCAAAAATATAACGTGTGTATTTAAATTAAATACTTGTATTTAAAAGAAATACTTTTCATTTTCGGAAATTGAAATACTTTACCTTCGTCGATGACCTCACTTTATAACTGGAGTGTAATCTCTTAAAGCGAAAGAAAGTACTTATCTGCCGTTGCTATGGGTAGCCTGCTCGCAAACATATTAAATTTCGATATTTCAGTCTGCATAGCCATAGGCGTGGGAAGATCGATAATTGGGGGCTCATATTCATATATTCATGTTCACAGACCATAAAAACAATCAATTTCAAAAGAAGTGATCATGAATAATGCAGAACACAAATATATGAATATGAGCCCCTCACCCCAATTATCGATCTTCTTACGCCTATGGGTATCAGCAGACTGAAATATCGAAATTTAATATGTATGGGAGCAGGCTACCCAAAGCAACGGCAGATAAGTAGTTATTGATTGGTATTGTATTCTAATCTAGTTACTAGGCTTTCTTTCGCTTGAAGAGATTTCATTCTGGTTATAAAGTGTGGTCATCGGCGAAGGTAGAGTAATCAGTATTTCAAAAACGTTATATGCAAAGGTGCAAAACGTTATATTGGGAACCGGTCATTATTTATGGGAGGGGAATTTTTTCCATTCTAAATTTTTAAAATTGAAAGCCCCCCCTTAAAAAAGCAGAAATATAATGATGACCCCCTGCATATTAGAATATTTTTCTTTGATTCCCCCATTTTCATTTTACTCGTCAAATGGGGAAACCCAGGCGTTATAGTGTTATTTATTAAATATGAATATGGAACTGATAAGATATTAATTAACGCCCACCAAAAATATATATTAGCAAAACATTTTAATTGATTAAAAGAGGAGTATTTTTATATATAATTATAAGACTAAAATCAGGTTTCCATTTTGTCTGGGCAATTGTAACCATGTCAAGATTGCTGATGTAATAATACATTGTCAATCAGTAAAGACGTCCTGATTTGCAAGCAGCATGCGCACACGAAAGACAAGATAAATCCATACTATTTCACATCAGTGAGCACGATTTACTCGCAACATTTACAACCAAATGGATACCATGCTTATCATTTATTTATGAAACATTCGTTGAAAGATGGAATGTTCCATTCAACTGGGCTGTCGCCTCGTAACTCGTTGAATGGAACATTCCATCTTTCACCTCATGAAAATATTCTTGTTATAACAGCATATACCCTTAGCTTGATCAACACATGTATTTCAACTAAGTCGTAAACAAATTATACAAGCCATTACATAGGTACCTAACTAATTAACATGATAATAACGTCCTAATGACTATTATAACATCTTTCCCTTTTTTTGAAGCTGAGTGTGATCTAATAATAAAACAATAACTATAACCTATAAGTTAAATATATAAATAATAAAGGTCCGTGTGCGTACTAAATACGATAACTAAATTTAGGACTATATGAGCTACGATTAATAGTTAAGTAAATGTACGATATGAGTAATTCGTGTTCGTGGCATTACACTTCAGTGTAATCCCGAACCTATTTCAGTACAAAGTCCTTTAGGTAGCTCGGAGGTTTCCGTGCTCTTCCAGATCTTCGTACATGTTGTGCACCGTTATCTTCTGCAGCAGGTAAACATGTCATTTCCGTTCTTGCTTCATTACTGCCCAATTCTTCAGAAGGGCTCGTTTGTTCTCCAGAGTCGCCCATGTTTAGCGGTGTCGAGTTATCCATAGCTGATCTCTTCTCGATGTCTGGAGATGCTTCGTTGGTGGTATGGTATGGTATGGTATGGTAAAACTTTATTTAAACACGCTAGCCTCGATCAACGTGAGCTTCTTTTCATGAAGGGCGTCACACAAAAACTACTTACAAATTAAAGAATATACACATTAAACTATATACAAGTTAAACTATATAGAAAAAACAAGGAATCAAAGGATAATAGAAAAGAAATTATATAAAAACTTAACAATTGGTGCGATCCAAAGAAGGTGTTCATGCCTCACGTATTTTTCTTTTAAATGAAGAAAGGGTTTCAGAATTTGTTAAATCCTCAGAAAGATGATTTCATTGCATGGCACCACTATATCGAAATGTTTTCCTTAAAAATTCACTTGGTTTTTCTTAGTTGAACTCTATTCCTCTATTTCAATTCGACAGCTCCCCTGTTGTAATACTTGTCTTGTTGTCTTTTCCGCTCCGCTTGTTTCTTTACCGTGGTACCGTTGTCAATCGATTGTGGTTGTAGCAGCTTCGCTGTTGTTGGCCACAAGGTTCTCGCCCGCCTATTCAACAGGCGCTGCGCTGGACTGCTCTTCATGCTCGCAGAGGGGGTATTTCGATGGTCAAGAACCGCCCAAAAGGCGTATGACTTTGCTTTCTTCGACTTTCTTAGGATTTTCTTAGCCTCTTTTACAGCGCTTTCGGCTTTACCATTCGCATGACTGTGGTATGGACTACAGGCGACGTGCTCGAAGTCCCATTCCTTAGTAAATATCTGGAAATCGTGTGCCACGAACTGGGGGCCATTGTCAGTCATCACCTGTTCGTGTATGCCGTGTCTCGCGAAATGACTCTTGATTTTTCTAATGACGTGTACTGAGGAGATATTCATCAAGTGATGCAGCTCAAAGAAATCACTAAAATAGTCAGCGGTAACTAGACAGTGTTTTCTCTCTAGTTCAAATAAGTCTATTCCTACACGTTGCCAGGGTCAGTTTGGCACTTCATGACTACATAAAGTTTCATTTGGCTGACTTCTCTCATACTCACGACAGGCTTCGCAGGTTGAAACATGGTTCTTGATATCGTTGGAGATCCCGGGCCAGTAAAGGCACTCTCGAGCTCGATTAAGGCAACCATTTACTCCCAGGTGGGAGTTGTAGAGTTTTCCCAGCATCTTGCTTCTAATTGCTTGCGGGATAACCACTCTTTCTCCTCTAAACACTAGACCATCTTGGATCGACATCTCGTCTCTGATGTTGAAGTAGGGTGTCACAACATTTGGCAGATCTTCTTTTTGCTCTGGCCACCCTTGCCGAATCACCGTCGCCAAGACTTGGATGGACTCGTAGCTTTTTGTTTCTCGTTGTATTTCCTTTAACCGTTCGTCGGAAATTGGCAGGTATTTCATTGTATTGATGGTCTCGAACTCTGGACCACTTTTCCCATCACCGGGGATGCTCGCTCTGGACAACGTATCGGCAAGGAACATCTTGCTATCTTTCTCATACTTCACTTCGATATCATACTTCGGAGACGGATCATCATATATACCCTGCAGTCTCTTGGGCTCTCGGTAAGGAGGTTTCTTCAAAATACTTTCTAGAGGTTTATGATCACTGTAGACGGTAACTTTTCTGCCAAACGTGTAGTCGTTAAATTTCTCGACACCATAAACAATGGCCAACATTTCCTTCTCTATCTGAGCATATTTTGCTTCTGTCTCAGATAGTGTTCGGCTGGCATATGCAATCGGATGACCATTCTGCATTAGGGCCACTCCCAAACCAGTCTGACTGCTATCGCATTGGATCTCAAGACTTACTGATGGCTTATAGTACGCGTAGACTGGGGTCGTTGCGATTAAATGCTTCACTTCATTCCATGCTTTCTCGTGTATTTCCAACCAGCACCACGCCAACTCTTTGTGTGTTATCACAGGGCGAAATTTGAAATTTAAGTCACCTTAAAGCTACATTAAATCCTTATTATCGAAGCTTTTAATTAAACTTTAGGGTGTCAACTAAAGTTAAACAAAGTAAATTTAAGTGACATTTTAGTTTTAACTAAAGGTCACTATTGAAGTATTTATAAGCGCATTTTAAATATACACTATATAGCCACTTAAAGTTGAATTTATTGGCATTTAGGGTAAATTCTTAAATGTTATGGAAAGGTAGATTTAAGTGCGAGTAAAGACCATTAAATGTCCTGAAATTTACATTTACGGATTCGTTTCTTTAGACTTTAGTGCTTGCAGTGTGTGACTTAAAGGCATATGAAAGAGGTATAAAGTTCCTTTTACCATGTTACAAAAAGCGCTTAAAGTTTCATTTACTTTACTTTTAGGTTTAATGTAAATTGGACAAAATGGCTTAAATTCACTTAAACCTGCATGTTTAGATCTATAGGCGTACTTGGGAACTATACCCGTACCTCGTGTGTTGCATTGTCATTCACATATATTTGACAAAACAAATAGAGTATAAATCATCGTGCACTTATGCATGCATGTCCGAAAAGCGCTGTTAGCGTTCATAAAATGTTGCTGTAACTGTATATTCCAAATTGTAACGTAGCAATACTGCAGGGCAGCGAAATGTGGCTCGATTGAATGGATAAATATTAGCCGTTACAGTATTTCGCGAACAGAATAATAAATATTAAGAAAAATCTTTAGATCAATAGACAACAGACTATACCAGTAATATAGACAACACTTTTTCTAGTAAAATAAATACTAGGTATACATTTATTTTCCCGAAATATTATCAGATGCATATGCAAATACTGAAATTGCATATTAAATAAAACTAATATATACCCATGCATTGCGTGATAAATAAACCCGTCAATTGATAAGCGTGTACTGTAAATGTTCATAACATATGTAATGAAAATTAGCTATACCTTAGAAGTGCATCAATATTATAATTAGTCGATCTGAGCATATTTATTACTATTTATAAATCGTTGACGAAGATGAAACACTCTTCGGATATCAATAAAGGCATATAAATTATGAAAATATTCTCCAGTGTGTATTTCATAATTGCGCAAGCAGAAAGATATTGCCTGCCGCTGCTGGGTTATGAATCAGCGACCTTTGCTCTATACCAACTGAGCTACTGTACACTGTCAGGCGGATTTAAGACTGGGAATTTTGAACCCAGCCGCGGCAGGCAATATCTTTCTGCTTGCGCGCTATCTGGAAATTATGTAATACACACTCGACCATGGCCTAAACATTATGCAGGATATTTTAACGGAACTAGGAGTAGTTACCACATCTTGCGCTGCGAAACAATATTCAAATAAATATGCTCAGTCCATTTTTGTGGAATCATTTCAATTTCGTTACCTAGAGGCTAGACCTAGTATAGAACTGTCATCAACCTACAATTATACTAAAAATACAGTGTGACTGTCATAAATCTACAGAAAATTATTGTTCAATTTTCGGCAGTGACCACAGCCCAGGCTGGAAATCCTTCTGGAACCGAGCGATTCTCCTTAACTGGAGTGGTTTGTCGAGGCAACAATCTGTCCTTTGCCCTTTTGGACATGTTGTCATGGTAAACGTCGTCGAGGGATTTCTTAGCTTTTGAGAAGCGCTCACTTTCCCATGCCAACGATTTCACCTTGTATTTAACAAGCTTCATTTTGCCATGCCCATATGCATCATCCTCCAGACAACTTTCCTCGCTGGACATAGCCTCGTCAACCAAACATTCGGCCACTCTCGCCTTCTTTTTCGTTGTCCAGTTTACTTTCTCCAACGATATGAGTCTTCTACTTAATTTCTAAAACACAAAAACACACTGTACAATTAACGCTATAACAACATCAGATACGTAATCTTAAGCGAGTTTTCCATTGCGTATTTCTTTGTTTCTAGAGTATTAGAGTGGAAGTAATGACTTCGACACAAAAGAAAATGCTACGAAACGTTATGATACGGTCGAAGGGGAAAACTGGCTTTAGGCCCGTTTTATACGTCGAATTTTGGTTGGGTCTAATGCATTTAAGACCATGGATGAGATGATAAACCTCAATAAGCTTCATTATCTATTGTTTGAATTACATTCGACGCGACCGACATTCCACTTATAAAGCATAGCTCACACTGGCGCTACGTATCAACTAGTGAGCTGAGCGTCACTCTTGACTGTGGGCGTGAGCAAGTTCCCCCAGTGTGCGGTGGCGTTTTGAGCGATTTCAGCTACGCGTGCCATCGTCACCGAATATTGAACATCTTGAATAATTTCAGTCACGAATGAACATTTCCTGTGCGCGCTCTCGATAAGCCATCACCTTTCGTTGCACTGTAGATTGAATAGGCATGCGTTATAAAACATAAGACGAAAGGAATATAACTAATAAGGAATGTTCATATGTCGCTACTCAGTCTCAAGTATTACATTCCTCATTCATTTTTTTCCTTTGTGTTATGTTTTATTTTGCATGCCTATTCGATCTACAATGAAAGTTGATGGCTTTTCAACGGAGGAAATTAGTGACTAAAATTATTCAATATCGGTGCCGATGGCACGCGTGGTTGAAATCGCTCAAAACGCCACGGCAAAATGGGCGAACTTGCTTACGTCAACAGTCACAAGTGACGCTCAGCTCAGCTGATAGCTCCAGTGTGTGCCGGGATAAAAACAGGCCTAAAATATTTTCGGGGTATGGACAAGGATTTAGATTTGAACGAAATATACCTATTGGGGTGTACATGACACTATGCTATACAGGGGTGTCTCAAAAAAGTATACCTGTTGTAATTAGCATTGTTTATCATACAACCTATTGTGTTGAAAGTCATTCTTAATTCTTCATGAGATTCAAATCAGGTTTCGATTTTTTGGGGACACTTATATATAGAAAATCTTGTTGCACGGTATCGCACTTCATCGTATTTATATGCAGATCCATTTGTACTTACATCTCTTTTTCTGCCAGTCATTCTACATTTCTTCTTGTGGTCCTCATATTTGTTGTCCACAATCTGCTTGTTTTTTTCGCACAGGGAAAGGAAGTATCTTTTCAACACAGCTACAAAGGAAATTAAAGACAGTTAGTTACATTATCGTAGTGTAAATACTGAATATAAGGACATGTACACTTGTACAGTATATCTATATCTTGTATATAGCTTATTTAATTAAATGAGGTTGTCCTGTTAAGTTCAAAACTCGTGCAACTTTAAACCTCGACCTCTTAGTTAAAAGGCAGACTGGACTTCTTTTAATATGTCTCTATTTAATTGTAGCATTTGTCTCTATTTGATTGTAGCAATTAAACTCCAGTGATTTTTCGGGCTTAGAGGTGACGGTTTTGCAGTTTTAAGGAAAAATTTAATTGAATTAGCTTAATGCATACATGTACAGTAGGTACTGTAACATCTCCTCCAGTAGTAACACTGGAGCAATAAGAGGTGGCCTTTGCTGAACTTGTCCCTTATTTGGGTTTAAAACACTGTATTGTGTCAATTATCCCGTTTTTATTATAATAATATCATAGTTGCCTCGAAATCCTTTGTCTCGCGAGGTTCGATTAATCACTAATTAACCTCATTACTAAAACATGAAGTAAAATTAGTACTAATTTTACCACGGGCAAAATTAGAACTAATTTAGAAGACAAAAGCGTACCGCATTACCTCTGATTCGAAAGCTGTACCTCATCGAAAATCATCGCCACAACTATGGACAGTATCTGACGACACCGTCCCGTACACATTTGAACAATCACCTTAGTTGCCAGCTTTTATTCCCTAATTTTGAACATTTCAATTGTGGGAGAAAATTCCGTTTATGCGCATGCCTAAAACGCCAATAAACACGGAGATGTGTTTCTGCGCGTGCGTATATATGAAAAGTGTTCGTACCACAATCATAAGACAATCAAACAGCAAGCGACGAGTGACGCGTGCGAGTGACGCGTGCGACGCGAGCTTTATTGCTCCGCGTTTAATGTGATTTTCTACACTAAATTTTGCGTAATAAGACTGAAAATAACTCAGATTTGTGGATAAAGGTTAAATCTACCTGATACACCTACGGAGCTGTGGATTTAGTACCTGGTTTGCTGTATTTTGGTGGGAACTTTTGTTTGGAATTCGCAATTTAGTCGATTTTCATTTCAGACTTTTGGTGAAACCGTTTAATTTGATCACGCAAGCATGCGACGCACGCGACCAGATCAACCGTAAAAAGTTAAGAATAAAATTTGAACTCTGAAGTGGACGCGCAACTGTAATTAGAACTCATTAAAATTATTTAACTCTGATAATTGGTTATTTACGATTTCCACTGAAAATGGAAAGATACAATCGCAAAACCTTTGAAATTTTAAAGACACTTTTCATCTGGCTTCTTACTTCAATCCTCGTTATTTGGTTATTTACAAGATCTAAACCGCAGCTTACGGTTTTGGACGATGAAACAACTTTTAAACGAGTCATTATATCTTCAGAACTAACAAAGTTACCTGACAAATTGTGTTTTATTTGGATGTCAACGCGAGATATATTTTTACGAAAATCCAGCTATCCTTGCAAACATCGATATGGTTTGGAATTCAGTATAAAACATAAAAGCCTGCATTTAGTCTTGTGTATCCTCCTTGCTGGTGATATCGCTACCAATCCAGGTCCGACTTTACCGAATGCGCAGTTTGGCAACCTATCTCCGTCACACCTACAAGTTCCTGTTGACGAGCGCCCTAACAACGAATTTGGACCAGCCATCGCTCTTGCCAACATGATGTCGCTTGCGCCAAAGATTGATGAGCTGAGATGCTTTGTTGAGAATACAAAACCTGATTTAATTTCATTAACTGAAACCTGGCTCAATGACTCTATTAGCGAGCACCATCTTAATATTCCTGGTTATAATCTGCTATTGAAGAACCGTACTTCTGGTGTGCATGGTGGTGTCGGACTTTACATAAAAAACTCCATCAAGTTTAACGCTCTCACTGACATCTACCACCCTCAACTTGAGGTGCTTTGGACATACATTAAACCCACGCGACTCCCCAGAGGTATACCCTGTGTAATTGTTGGAACTGTGTACCATACACACTACCCTGTAGGTGCTAGTGATAACGAAATGTTGGACTACCTGGCATCATCACTAACTATTATCGAAGGTCGTTACCCTGGGTGTGGTATATTAATAACAGGTGACTTTAATCGCTTAAATGTGAGTCGTCTCCTCAAGCAATTCAAGCTAAAACAGCTCGTTCGCGGTCCAACAAGAGGCGAAAGGACTCTCGATCTCATTATTACGAACATGCCTCAATTGTATGACATGAACTTGTTGCAGAGCTTTCCGCCTTTTGGGTTATCTGACCATTCCGTGTTACTGTTGCAGCCTAAACCGAGAACTGCACAAAGCTGTAGCCGTCGTTCTGTGACTCGAAGGGATACTCGTCTGAGCCGCCGACATGAACTTGGAAGGTATCTGAGCTCGATTGACTGGTCGTTTC